AAATTACAGAAATCAATAATTCCCGAACATGGGATTAATAATAATAATAATTAATAATGACCATAATAATAATAATAATAATAGTAATAATAATAATAATAATAATAATAATAATAATAATAATAACAATAATAATAATAATAATAATAATAATAACGATAACAACAACAAAAATAATAATAATAATAATAATAATAATAATAATAATAATAATAATAATTAATAGTTAATAATAATTACTAATTAACATCATAATTAATTAATTAACAACTAACAATCAATAATTAATAAGAATAATATTTGATCCGCAAAATTTGATAATATAATGTACGAATAAGGTTAAGTTAGTAAACCAGGAAAAATGGAAATTGTTTGTTTCACAGCTTTGTTATATGTTAATTAAGAAAATAACATAATTAACATATATGATAACTTGCATTCTTGACCTATATTCCGTTCATATTTAATTGTATATCAAACATTTTTGCATGTTAATTAATTAATTAGTATATTGGCAATCATTATTGATAAATATAATAAATAGTAAGTGAAAATGATAAATTGAAATATGTTGCAGAAAGTGACCGATTAAATGACCATGAACTATTCCGATGAACTCAATAATAATAATAATAACATTTATAAATGAAATAAACATTAAGTATTTCAGTTTTCCCTTAGCAAAAATAGTTTATCAATCCGAAAAACTGGAAATTTTAAAAACAAAAAAAAAAAAAATACTGTCAACATTTTTTCTCTCATAAATTTTATGCAAGAAAAAAAAAAGAGATGGATGGAATAAATAAGAATTTTGAATTAAACGTTAAAATTTTTTTAAACCTTAACTGAAAAATGCAAGAAAAAAAAATTGTTTTTAGCATCGGAGAAAAAAAAAAATTATTTTTAGAAACGAAATGAAATGAAAAAAAAAACTTTAATCTGGAAAATTTATGCAAAATAAACAGCAATCATTTTCCTGTCACCTATACAATGATTACGTACGTGAAAAAAAAGATCAGCAATCATTTGCCTGTTACCTTACCACTAAAATGATCACGTATTCCTGTTACCGTTAAAATGATTACGTACGTGAAAAAAAAGTCAAAAGATTACGTGTAAATGAATGATCAACAAATTATACATCCAATATTTTCTAATAATTTCATCACTGTATTTCTTTAATTCTTCACTAATTTCATCCTACATTTTTGATTGCACATTTTATAAGAAGCGAAAAATCTCGATGATATCTTCAATCTTTTCCCGATATATCGTAAATATGACCTTTTAATTAATGCAAATTGATAAATATGACCTTTTAATAAAATATGATCTTTTAATTAATGTAAATTAATGATAAGTGGTAAAATGTCTTCGTCAAGAATTGGAAAAAATTAACAAAAATAGAGAATGATGTAATCATTTTTTAGATTTAAATTTTTCATAAAATATTAAAGTTTAAAATCTAAATAAAAGTTTAAATTTTTGAAATTTAAAAATTTTGCTTGTATTATACGAATTATTAAATTGATACATATTATTTTTTACACCTTAAAATTTAAACTTAAGAATGAATGATTGATTGCAATTGAAAATTGTCAAGAAATTTTTTTTTTATCATTTCTTTACACAATTAAATCACCGCTTACTTTAAAATGTACTGAAACCGGTTGAACCATTTTTTGTTTAAGAAGTTCGAAAGTTTGATCAATACATCGTCGTGCAGCTTCCGGTCCGGTTAATGATTCCGTATCCAATGAAATGATATACGTTACATTACATGCTGTAAAATTCATTTTTTTTTTCCTTCTTTTTTAATTTTAAAAAATTTCAGAGTTTAAATTTTTTGAAGATTTTTTTTTTGTTTAATTTTTGAAAAATTTTTTTTTGTCATTAATAAATATGCAGTAAAAAAAGGAAGATTAATTAACACAAAAAAGGGGGGAAAAAAAAGTTGATAACAAAATGATAACTTTCACTTTCCTAAACTTTGATCAATTACTTATCAATGGCAAAAAAAAAAAGAAAAAACTTTTTTGTCCCTCAATAATTTTTAGCAATTTTTATAAAATATATGATAAGTATATGAAAGTACATTGATTAAATGATTAACATATTTATCAGTAATTTTCTTTTACCTACTCTTAGCTATATAAATAGAATTGGAAAAAAGTTAAAAAAGAAAAATTGAAATTTAAATATTTTTAAAATTTAATTAACATAAAATGAATTTTACTTTTTTCAATATGAATAATATATAAAACAAAAAAAAAATTCAAATTAAAATAAAATTGAATTAAATTAAATTGAAGCATTCATTATACTGAAATTACAAACCAGCTCCTTGTTGTAAAAGTTGTTGTGCAGCTGAGATATGTTCCGGTGTATTAGCTGGATCATATTCCGGTAGCAATAATTTGGTAGGTAATGCAAGTGGTGTTATTGAATGTTGATATACAAGTGCAGATAGGGTACCAAATATTGGCTCATTATTACAACCCTTCAATTTGACACCTTTTGGTGATGGTTCAATCAGAAAATGACGTACTAATTCGGTACCATCACCTAAAATTAATTTTTTTATTGATTTAATGTATTTTAATGTTATACATCAATGATTATAAATAGCACTTAATTATAAGAATGATAAATAATCACTGATTAATTAAGGATTTATAGTATTGTTAAATTATAAAACAGTAATACAAATCTAACTTAATTATAATTAATCCTATATGATATGGTAGTAAAAACTAAGTATTCAATTTATTATTTCGTTTATTTTTATTGTTTAGCTAATCGAATGAATTTCCATGATTGTAATTACTTGGTAATAAATACATGGGAAGCATCAGGATCAATAATTAAAGATAATTAAATATAATAATTAAAATATACATGTGTAGTAATTATTCAAAGATAAGCTATTAACAATAATGCTAGGAGAAAAAAAAAAAGAAAATAGTTTGTTTCGGCAAAAAAAAAAAAGCTTAATGAAAGGAATAATAAGTCGAAAAGTTCAACAAAGGATTTCATATCTTCATATGTTGTATGTATAAAATC